CAAAAGATGTTACGGAGGAGAAAAGTAAGAGCTCTCTCTCTTTTCACAAAATTGTTGATTGCGTTCTCTGATAATTTGGAGTTAATGATAAGGTTTCATTGGTTTTAAAGCTATTTGAATTGTTTATGTTTGTATAGTTTATTGAATTTACTGAGCTCTGTTTTAGATGTTAAGCTAGCTGATATGTCAAAAGAGGAGAGGTTGTCTATTCTCAGAGCTTATGAAAATAACGAAAAGAGCAAAGCACAGAGCAAGTAAGAGATTTTATTATCACTGGTTTTTAGGTTCTTTATATGATTTGCTAACAATTATAAATGGAAAACAGAGCTGAGAAGAAGATCTCTGATATTCTTGCTTGGGAAGACAATAAGAAAACAGCCGTTGAGGCCCAACTCAAGAAATTCGAGGTATAGTAACTTGTTGCATAAGAAATGAAACTGTTTTAATATGCTTGAGAAGTGATAATGTTTCTGAAATATAGGAGAAAATAGAGAAGAAGAAAGCACAGTATGCAGAGAAGATGAAGAATAAGGTTGCAGCGATTCATAAAGAAGCAGAAGAGAGAAGAGCAATGATTGCTGCGAAGCGCGGAGAAGAAATTCTTAAAACAAGAATAATGGGAGCTAAATGCAGACATACTGGTTTTGACCCCAATGCAACTTGTGGATGTTTCCAAGAGTTTTCAGCTTCAAAGTGTTCTAAACGCTCTCTCTTTTCTCTTAAATGGCTTGTGCTCTTGTCTTGAAACTGATTTTGTGTGTGAGAACATCGGAGTGAACAAAATTTCCCATCGACTCATCATCAAGTATTTGACTGTTGTTGAGCACAGACACTTTCCTAGACGGACTGCCTTTTCCCAGACCTCCAATGAAACAACTTCCGATTTGCGTAGATGACAGTTCCCAATCCTTCAAAATTGCTCTCCTACTTATGTTTACACGAGTCTTTTTCAACTATTTATCTCAAGTTTATATCGTTGCGATTTGGCATCATGAGCCTCACAAATTTCTTGGTCGAAGGATTTTGCTTCCATGTTTTTTAAACTTTTTTGGCGTGGGACCAATTAGATAGATTAAGCAAATTGTTGATCATTTTGTAAAACCAAAACATTTTCAGTTTATAATGAATATTTACCGTTTCATTATAAAAAAAAAAAAAAAGTTAGCTTCTATGTAAACAAATCTCATTATGATTGAAAAGAAGCCCATGACTAGGTATGCGCCTGACTGCTTACAAGAATGGAAACCGAGAAGAGATCTAAGTGAATTAGGCTTGTAAACCATTGTTTCTGTTCATTAATTACGTGCGCGAGTAGTAAGTCAAATAATGCTCTTATTTTTTCCAAGACCAAACCAAATTACAAATGATTTTATTGTTTGCTTGCTGTTAATACTACAGCAAAATCTTGTACACAAATAATACGGTAATACCAATTGGTTCACCCGTGATGGTAACACCATATTCAACGAGGATATAATTCAGTGATCGATGTGTCGCCAATAGAATTTGAAACACACTTGGCCGTTGTAGATTGATCCGAGTCAATCGGATCTTTTTCAGTTGTACTATGATTCTGAACGAAAAACCCTGGTTGTTGAGGCACTGGTAAAGTCACATTACTATTACTAGTGAGCATCACAAAAATCGTTGACAAGGTCGGACGCTCAGCAGGATCTTCTTGAACACACAAAAGACCGATATGGATGCATCGAATCACTTCACTCTTCTGGCAGTTCTCTACAATAGTTGGATCGACAAGGTCTAACGCTTTTCCGTTATTCCAAAGCCTCCAACCCTTTAATATCAATCAGTCAATCAATCAGTTCTTGCAACCATTAATTATTGTAAGCGAGGTTAGTATAAAAACTTGATTGCATTTAACTTACATATGTGACCAAATTCTGTGCACCATAGAAGCTACTGTTCTTCCTACCGCTTATAATCTCAAGAACTAACACTCCGAAGCTATAGACATCAGATTTCATAGAGAATTGGCCATGCATCGCATATTCAGGAGACATGTAACCACTGGAATCCACAACAAAACGTTAGTATATATTGGTGAAATAATGTCCAACAAACTTTAACATATAAGTTAAGTGTAAGACTTACTAGGTACCAACAATTCTGCTTGTGTTTTGCTGAGTTTGGTCTATTCCAAAGATCCTTGCCATTCCAAAATCAGCAATTTTTGGATTCATATCCGCATCAAGGAGAATGTTACTCGCTTTGAGGTCACGGTGTATGATCGTGAGTCGTGAATCTTGATGAAGATATAGAATCCCTCTGGCAATTCCTCCAATTATCGTGTAACGTCGAGTCCAGTCTAGTTCACCTTTCTTTTCTTGGTCTATGCAAATCCATGAAATTACTGTAAATTCTAAATATTTGATATTCCAAGCTTCAAGAATGGCTGAAGAATCATTAAATATGCAATAAATGCAACTGACCGAAGAGGAAGTAATCAAGGCTTTTGTTAGGCACATACTCGTAGACCAATATCCTTTCTTCTTGTTTTAGAGAAAACCCCAGAAGCCTAACCAGATTTCTATGCTGAAGCTTTGCCACGACAACAACCTCGTTCTTGAATTCTGTTTCACCTTGTCCGGATGATTTCGACAGTCTCTTCACCGCAACTTCAGTCCCATTCAAAAACGTACCCTATGGTTTTCATTAGAATCATCCGTTATTTAAATGTGATGGCGCAAAATATCAATGAAAAATGTATAACCACAGGCGCATCTAAGGAACAAGCGTTAATAGTACCTTGTAAACCTCTCCAAATCCACCTTGACCAATCTTATTTTGCCCTGAATAATCATTAGTTGCAGCTTGAATTGTTCTATAATCAAGTTGAAGCGACTCGATGGTTGTTCTATCATCTCTTGTTGAAAAATAAAAGTCTTAGTAATCAGAAAAAATACTGATCAATGACATTAATCAAATACAGTTAAGATTACGGAATTGAATCTTTACCATCAAAGACAGGTGCTGTATCATAAGTCTTCTTTGTCCTCTTTGCAAGGAACCAGTAACCAGCTATGCAAAGCAGAACAAGCACTATAATAGGCACAACAATGGCTACGGCTAACACATTTGAATTTCCACCTTTCCCTACGTTTCAAGGATCATTTTCTTGAGATTGAATAGTGGCGGATGAATTAAATCTCTAAAATTAACCACAAGGGGAAACAAATTTCACTAGTTTCGAGAAATCAGGGCATAAAACAGAGCAAGAACAATGAGTTTACCAGGTGGTGGAGGAGATGACTCCGAAGAAGTAGTGGTGGGCCGAGGCGGTGGTGACGGTGACGGTCGTACTTGGTGTTGTGGTGATGTTCTAATGGCGGTTTCGTTGTAGAACGCGTAAAGCTCGTACCTTGAATTACAACTAGGGTAAAGTTGTCTTGCTCCAATTCTGTTAAGAGTCATCCTATTGATGGACCGTTCCAGACAGCGCAAACAGTCTTCCATTGTAAGATCAGGAGTGCACTGAACCAGGACGTACAAATCCTGGAGTGCGGTCCAATTGGCCTTTCTCGTATAGAACTTTCTAGCATTGGTCGCTGCCTCGATGGCAGCTTGGTTCATCGTGGATGACGCCAAATCTTCGAACCGGTCTACTTGGTCAGATATTTTATCCGAGTTCAACATGATAAATTCTCCTTTGAGTGTGACGTTCGAGAGAATGTTCCGGTGAGAGTATCTGAGCAAACACTCATCGTAATAGATAGTGACCTCTCTCTCATTCGGACACCGAATGAAGATGTAGTTGATGGCAAAGGAGACACAGTTACGACAAACTTCAGCCGAGAAGTCTCCCCGACAGAGAAAAAGTCCGGTGACCCTGTCGGGGGCTTGACCCGCAGTGGCGTTTTGGAATCCAGTGGAGTAGGACGAGTTGTCAGAAGAGAGAGAAGACAAAAGGATTTTGAGGTTGGTGAAGTAAGTACTGTTCTTTGAATACGTTGTTGTATTTGGACAAAGATGGTATAAATAGTTAGGACTTTGAGCAGAAGCTCTGAAGCTAGTGAGGAGGAAAAAAAGGAAAAGGAACATGAAAGAAGCGCGAGAAGACATGGTTCGACTTATTTGATTTTGGTTTCACATCATGAAGCCCTCATTTATAGAGTTTGTAAACAAAATGAATTTTCTCTTTGTGACGATTGACGACCTTAAGTCCA